AATCAAAGTCATGAAAAACAAGAATCTGAATCCAAGACTACTCTACCCAGCAAGGCTATCATTCAAAATAGAAGATCAAATAAAGAGCTTCCCAGACAAAAAAAAGCTAAGGGAATACATTAGCACCAAACCAGCACTGCAAGAAATGTTAAAAGGACTGCTGTAATTAGCAGTAGAAATGGGAAGAAAAATAGAACCACACTAAACAAAAATGGCAATAAATAAGTACATATCAATAATCACCTTAAACGTAAATGGATTGAATGCTCCCATAAAGAGACACAGAGTAGCTGATTGGATAAGAAAGCATGACTCATCTATATGTTGTTTACAAGAGACCCACCTCTCAACAAAAGACTCATATAGGTTGAAAGTGAAGGGATGGAAAAAATTTTTCCAAGCAAATGGAAAGCAAAGAAAAGCTGGGGTAGCAATTCTCATATCTGATGAAATAGATTTCAAAATGAAGACCATAACTAGAGACAAAGACGGCCACTACATAATATTGAAAGGATCTATCCAACAGGAAGATATAACCTTGATAAACATATTTGCACCCAATATAGGAGCACCAAAATATATTAAAAATCTTCTGGAGGACTTCCAAAGAGAAATCGACAACAATACAATCATAGGAGGGGACTTCAACACCCCGTTGACAGCACTGGATAGATCCTCCAGGCAAAAAATTAGCAAGGAAACAGAGACTCTAAATGAAGCTCTAGACCAAATAGATTTAATAGATATCTACAGAGAATTACACCCCAAAACTACAGAATACACATTCTTCTCAAGTGCACATGGGACATTCTCAAAGATAGACCACATGATAGGACACAAACTAAATCTCTACAAGTTCAAGAAGACTGAAATCATATCAAGCATCTTCTCAGATTACAATGGCATGAAACTAGAAATCAATTGCAACAAGAACATGCAAAGACATTTCAACACATGGAGGCTAAATAGCATGTTATTAAACAATGAATGGGTCACCGAGGAGATCAAGGAAGAAATTAAAAACTTCCTGGAAACCAATGAAAATGAACACACAACAACACAAAATCTATGGGATGCAGCGAAAGCAGTTCTGAGAGGGAAGTTCATAGCACTAAAGGCCTACCTCAAAAAAAACAAGAAAAATTTCTAATTGACTGTCTAACCTCACAACTTAAAGAATTAGAAAGCAAACAAAAAGAAAACCCCAGAGCAAGTAGAAGGAAGGAAATAGTAAAGATCAGAGCAGAAATAAATGACATAGAGACCAAAAAAACAATTCAAAGGATCGATGAAACAAAGAGCTGGTTTTTCGAAAAGATAAACAAGATTGATGGACCCTTAGCTAGACTCACCAAGAAACAAAGAGAGAGAACCCAAATACACAAAATCAGAAATGAAAGAGGAGAAGTAACAACCAACACCACGGAAATACAAAAGATCGTTAACAACTACTATGAACAACTATATGGCAACAAATTCGACAATCTAAGCAAAATGGACAAATTTCTAGAAACACACAGTCTCCCAAAACTATTCCCGGAAGAGATAGAAAACTTGAACAGACCAATAACAACTAAGGAAATTGAAGAGGTAATCAAGACTCTCCCAGCAAACAAAAGCCCAGGCCCAGATGGTTTCACGGGGGAGTTTTACGGAACATTCAAAAAAGAACTAACACCCATTCTCCTCAAACTATTTCAAAAAATTCAAGAAGAAGGAAGACTTCCAAACACATTCTATGAGGCCAGCATCATTCTAATTCCAAAACCAGAAAAAGACACTACGAAGAAAGAAAACTACAGGCCAATATCCCTGATGAACATAGACGCCAAAATCCTGAACAAAATATTAGCAAATCGGATCCAGAAATACATCAAAAAAATTATTCACCATGACCAAGTGGGATTCATTCCAGGGATGCAAGGCTGGTACAATATTCACAAATCAATAAACGTGATACACCACATAAACAAAATGAAGAATAAAAACCACATGATCATATCAATAGATGCTGAAAAAGCATTCGAAAAAATCCAGCATCCATTTCTGATAAAAATGCTCAGCAATGTAGGAATAGAGGGATCATATTTCGACATAATAAAGGCCATATATGAAAGACCTACAGCCAACATCATACTCAATGGACAGAAACTAAAAACATTTCCATTAAGAACAAGAACAAGACAGGGATGTCCACTTTCGCCACTCTTATTTAACATTGTACTGGAAGTCTTAGCCACAGCAATCAGACATGAAGAAAAAATAAAAGGGATCCAAATTGGAAAGGAGGAAGTGAAACTGTCATTATTTGCAGATGACATGCTATTGTACATAGAAAACCCTAAAGACTCCATCAAAAATCTATTAGACTTAACAAATGAATTTGGCAAAGTAGCAGGATACAAAATTAATGTCAAGAAATCGACGGCATTCTTGTACACCAATGATGAACTCACAGAAAGAGAAACTGAAAAAACAATCCCATTTACCATCGCTCCAAAAAAATTACGATACCTAGGAATAAACTTAACCAAAGAAGTAAAGGACCTATTTGCAGAAAACTACAGGTCATTGAAAAAATAAATAGAGGAAGATATAAAAAAGTGGAAGCACATACCCTGTTCATGGATTGGAAGAATTAACATCATTAAAATGTCCATACTACCCAAAGCAATCTATAGATTCAATGCAATCCCCATCAAAATACCAACGACATATTTCATAGAACTAGAACAAATACTTCAAAAGTTCATATGGCACCAAACAAGACCCCGAATAGCCACAGCAATCTTGAAAAAGAAGAACAAAGTAGGTGGGATCACAATACCAGATATCAGGTTATACTACAAAGCGACTGTAACCAAAACAGCCTGGTACTGGCACAAGAACAGGCATATAGACCAGTGGAACAGAACTGAAAACCCAGAAATGGACCCAAGGCAATACGCCCAATTAATATTTGACAAAGGTGGCAAGAGCATACAGTGGAATAAAGACAGCCTCTTTAATAAATGGTGTTGGGAAAATTGGACAGCTACATGCAAAAAAATGAAACTAGACCATCAACTTACACCATACACAAAAATAAACTCAAAATGGATAAAAGACTTAAATGTGACCCATGAATCCATGAAAATTCTAAAAGAAAATGTAGGCAACAAAATTTTGGACATCATACGGAGCAGAATTTTCACTGATACATCACCTAAGGCAACAGAAATAAAGGAGAAAATGAACACATGGGACTACATCAAACTAAAAAGCTTCTGCACAGCAAAAGAAACAATCATCAAAATGGAAAGGCAACCCACTGTATGGGAGAACATCATTGCAATGATGTATCAGATAAGGGGTTAATTTCCAATATATATAGAGTGCTCATACAACTCCACAAAAGGAAGACAAAGAACCCAAATAAAAAATGGGCAGAGGAGCTGAATAGACACCTCTCCAAACAGGACATACAAATGGCCAAGAGACATATGAAGAAATGCTCAACATCACTAATCATCAGAGAGATGCAAATTAAAACAACAATGAGGTATCACCTCACACCTGTCAGAATGGCCGCCATCAACAAATCATCAAACAACAAGTGTTGGCGAGGGTGTGGAGAAAAGGGGACTCTAATACACTGCTGGTGGGAATGCAGACTGGTGCAGCTGCTATGGAAAACAATATGGTGCTACCTCAAAAAATTAAAAATTGAACTTCCATTTGACCCAGTGATCCCACTGCTGGGAATATACCCTAAGAAGCCTGAAACACCAATCAGGAAGAATATATGTACCCCCATGTTCATAGCAGCACTATTTACAATAGCTAAGATCTGGAATCAGCCCAAGTGTCCACCAGTAGACGAATGGATAAAAAAGCTGTGGTACATATACACGATGGAGTACTATGCAGCGGTAAGAAAGAAAGATCTCTTATCCTTTGAGACGACATGGAGGGACCTGGAAAGTATTATCCTAAGTGAAAGAAGCCAAGCAGAAAAAGACAAATACCACATGATCTCACTTATATACGGGATATAATGAACATAACAGTCTGAGGAATACAGTAGACCCAGACACATGGAAGTAGGGCACAGACTGACATCCCTCAGGAGAGGGGATTGGGGGTGGGGGGGGTGGGAAGAGATAAACCACAGAACTTATATGCATGTATGCATGACCAATGGACATGGACAACTAAGCCGGGGACAGGGTGGATGAGGGGTGGGGGGGGGTGCCAATGGGGTAAAACGGTAAAATATCTGTAACAAAAAAATAAATAAATAAATAATTCAAAAAAAAAAATTAAATAGATGAAGAGGTATATAATAGTCTTAATGACTTTATTCATATCTACCTTCATCCCAAGCATATCAAAGCTCCTAGAATAAGGAATGGGCTAAATTATTGAACTAGATTTTTAGTAGAAACAGAGACCAAGAAGTGACCTTCCAAAAGAGTTCAAATTTTGTCTTTTCATTCAATAAAAATTTCTAATTATTTTTTATCAATGGACAGGTTTTTTAACTGTAGCATATATACGACGTTTGTTTGTTGTTGTTGTTTTTTGCTAACAATTTTCAACTAGTGGAGTAGAGCCAAGTTTAATTCAGAGAGCAAAAGTTCTTAATTTGAGGGAAAGGGGTACAGCCTCAGTAAAATTCAGTTACATGCAAACCTATGTAGATACATGTGTATCTATATGTGAGCACAAACACAGGCACTTAATTAAATACAGGTATCTAAAGCTAATTATCCAAAGACTTGCATTTAATATAATTATTGACCCTATCACCAACCAGTTTTATGATGTTGAACTGGTCATTTAGCTTGTTTCTTTAATTGTATAATTATAATATTAATACTTATACTGCCTGTCTGGTAACATTTGAAATAATTTGTGTGAAAGCCTTTTCTGCTTTGCAAAGCAGTACATCTGAATAAAAGATTGCTGGATTTTTATCTATGCAAAGAAATAATAAGACTTTTAAATATTTGCCTTAGGTGATCCGGAAGGGAGAAGTCAGCTGTTGTTGGACCTGCACGCCATGTAAAGAGAATGAGTATGTCTCTGATGAGTACACCTGCAAGGCATGCCAGCTGGGGTCCTGGCCCACGGATGACCTTACAGGTACATGTATCACAATGTCAGCATAAGTACAGCTCTTAATAAAAAAGAAAGAAAAGAAAAGACAGACATGGGAGGAGGAGGTCACATCTCCAAGTATTTCTCATCTCAGTGGCCTTGGTTTACGTGACAAAGAATTTCTTTGGAAACAGAAGCCTTCCTAATACTTGGCTAATCGTGAAAATCTATAGATCTTACAGAGGGATTGACCTCTATTCCCACCCTCACCACCAAACTAGATCAGAATTCCTAGTTTTTTTATGGGGTATTTCCACCCTGTCCTCAGGATTTGCCCAGAAGTTCCTATACAAAGCCCAGATTACTGTCATTTGAGGTGGTGAGAGAGAGCTACTGGTCAGAGACTAAAATATGTCATGACATATCCAAGAGAAAAAAGGTTACAAAAAAATTTGGTAGTTGTTGGTCTAAAACGCTTTGTTTCTCTTAGTGTTTTTCCTTTATTTAAACCAGGAACCTCCAACTAATAAGTTTTCAAATAATGTTGGCACAGGGCAAGACTAATCTCTGCTTGGGTTTTGTTTTGTTTAGTGTTTTTTTTTTGGGGGGGGGGTGTTTTGGTTTGGATTTATTTTCCGCAAAAATGTTAAGAAATGTGTCATTGTGCTCTCAAAATTATATTTTATAGCTATTTCTAATTTTTATAATATGATAGCTTTCATTTCTCCTTCTAACTCATTCAGGGCTTATGACATGCCTGTTTACCTACCACTGAATAAAGGTACAATCTCTATCTTAAACAAGTTAATGAGGGAGGCAAAAAGATAAAAAATATGATTACAGTTAATAAAAGACATAGATTTGTGGAAAAAGGAGTATGAGGAGGAGTCCTATGAGACTAAGTTTTCAAAGAAAATAGAGAAAAAACATTTCAGGCAGATGGCCCACCATGTGCTATGTCAGGTCATGTAGTGGCTTTAAAATTAAGATGGATTTAGCACAGCTTTAGGCTAGAAGATTATAACATCATCAGTAATAGTCTCCATCCCTCACAGGACAAGAAACTATTCATGATAGTTGTATTAGCTTATTCCAAAAGCCTGGTTCTAAAAGTCCCATGACTCTGGCCTTTTGAGACCAGCTCACATTAAAGCTTTGTTTTCAGTGATTGGTATTTATGCAGAAAACTTTTCTTTTCTTAAAATAAAAAAATTCTGGTTTAATAAAATACCTAAGTGCCTTGTGTTAGCATTTAAACCTATTTTTTCCCATTAGACAATGAGTTTTCTTATACTCTTATACATCCTGGTATCCCAAAAGCCAATCAGTACTGAACACAAAGGCTTAAATAAATTTAGTTGAATAGATGAACTATAGTCCACTTACACACACACACACACACACACACACACACACACAGAATAAAATGTCAGAAAGAAAAACGAACATGATTAGTTTTGTGGGAGGGGAGTAAGGAGCAGTATTGTAATCTTTATTTACCTTTTTACTATTTTTAACTTTTCTTTAAATTTCTAATCTCAACATGGATTATCATTAAATCGAACAACTATCTCACAGATTCAACTATCTGCATGGCTAAGCACCTTGAAAGTAAATATATAGATGTAATATTTCTTGTCCTATATTTTATAAAACTGTGCTATTGACAGTGAACATGGTCTGCTTTTATATTCAATCAACAGAAAAATATTTATTATTCTTATTAGCATTACAAAATAAGTGGTGGAGAAACTGAGGTTAAAAACCAGATGTAGTTCTTATATAATTTGTCATCTTATTGGGAGAGAAACATTCTCTCTCCCCCCCCTTCTTCTCTCCCTTTCCACCCCACTCCCTTCCCTCTCTCAATCACACACACATATGCATAGACAAATTGTGTCAAGTAATTTGAAGTAAAAGAACAAGATTTTTTAAATGACAATATTAATATTTATTTAAATGTGTGGTCATAAAAGATCTCTTCGAAGAAGTGAAAATTAGCTGAGATCTAAATGGTAAATAAAAATAGCTAGCAAAAAGAATCATAAGAAGGGCCTTTCTGGCTCAGGAACAAGCACATAGGAAGGTCTGAATATGGGGAAGCAAATGGAAAAATGGTGTCAGAAGAGATCAGAAAGGTATCAGGAGCAGGTGATATAGATCCTTGTAGAACATGTTCAGGATTTGAGTGTTTATTATGAAGTACAATGATAAACCATTGAGGGTAGGGTAGTAGAAGAAAAAAGTATGATTGTATGTGTATCTTTAAAATATCATTCTACTTCCTGTGAGGGAAAACAATTTGGAGAGGAATGGAAAGTGGAGCAGGGAGACCAGCTGGGGGGTTACCATAGGCTGGCACTGCAGGAAAGAGTTCTTTGTGTCCTGGACTGAACTGTACATTAGAAAATTTGAAATAGACTTTTGAGTAGAATCAGAAGGATATACAGATGAGTCGGCTGGAGTAAGTATTAAGTAGCCTACCAAATAATATGCCCTGAAGACTGGAGAAAAAATTGCATTCTTTCATAAAAATCAATACTTTGGTTTTAGGCAGGATCATTTTGAGATTTCCAAGTGTGAATTAATTTTAATTTAACAAGAGAAGGCCTTATGGTTTGCGCAAGAGAATGTAACTGGAACTAAAAAAGATAAAATACAGTCTATGTTTCCAAGAAACATATAATCTAGTGGAGAAAAGCATGTAAACAGGTAATACCATAGTGTAATAAGTACTGTAGGTGAAGAAGGAACAAAGTATTATAGGAAAGTGGAGGACAGCCTACCTAACCCTGGAGAATCTGGGAATGTTTACTCTTGAGGCATAATCTTAAAGCTCAGTTAATAAAAAGTGTAGAACATCTCATATCAGAAAGAGAGTGCAGCATCAAGGCCACTAATGGCACCATTATTCTCCTAGTTGCCCCAACCAAAAGGAAGGGACTCTTCTCTATTCCTTACCACCTATATCCAGTTACCTATGAAGCTTGGCTGTTTGAATTGCTAAATATTCTTACTATCTCTTCTCCTTTCCATCTGTTCAGCTCTTCCCTAATTGTGTTCTCATCATCTCACATTTGACTATTTTATTTTTTTTTATTTCCCTACTCCCAAATTTATACCACATGCCTCTAAGCCTACTATTCATCTTGCTACTGGATAATGTATCCAAAGTATAGATTTATCCCTTTTATTTCATTGTGTAACACTTACCAGCATTTTTATATCTCTATAGGATATATTTCAAGTTTTTCAACGTGGCACACAAAATTTCCTATCCCTGACCCCCTCCTGTGATCTTTCCAGTTTCAATCACCAGTCCTTTATAACTCTCATGTGACAGTCTAGTATAAAGGGCTGCTTATAGTTCTGATCTGCACTCAGTACTCTTCGATGCTTCCATGTCCATACATGTGTTTTCTTTCCGGCCTGGAGTGTACTTATGGCCTGACATATAGGAAGTACTCATTCACTACTATAAGCACTACTTACAAAGGAAGCTGAAAGTAGGTGTTAGGAAGTGAGCCTTTTATTTAAAAGTTTGGACTTGATCCTACAGACAATGTGGGGCCAGCGAAGGTTTTCAAGCAGAAGAACAAAATGACTGATGTAGCTACATGTATACATGTAAGTGTGTGTGTGCATGAGGGGAGGGGGACTAAGTGCCAAACATGGGAAGATCTCCACACTGATATGGACCTTTAATTGAGATCTACAGCACTTTTCCAAAGAGCCTAGAGCGGTTTGCAACCCTATCTCACTGACCACTTGGAGCTGCTAACCGGAAGACTGCTGGCCAAAGCCTGCCACAGAGGTGGCTGGGCTAGCTAGCTTCAGGGAATACTATAAGCCTTTCTTCTACCCACGTGGCTTAGTTACCCACTTCCACCTACAACATGACAGTTCAGTGGGTCAGGGTCCTCACTGTGGTAGTAGGATCTAGCTCATACATGATGCTTCCTGTGTGCCAGGAACTGTTTGAAACATCTTATAAATGTTAATTCAATTAATCCTAGCAAAACTCTATAGAATTTTTAGCACAGTTAAGAGACCTGAGCACACTTAGAATTGAATAATTATTTAGAAAAACAACTAGGAGTGACAATCAACTGACATTAATATTTATATATTTATCTATAGACTTGTATATATTCATAAAAAGATGTCTGAAATGAAGGTTACCTACTAATAAGAAAAGATGTTTATAAGTGGTGGGACTGTGGGTTACTTTTTCATACAGATACATACATATATGTTTAAATATATGTGCATATAATATTGAATTATATTGTGAGAATGTTTTTATCATAAAGCCATTAACTAAATTTTAAGCTAACCATATTTTTAAAAATATGTTTTTATTGATTTTTTAGAGAGTGAGTAAGGGAGAGAAATAGAAACATCGATGTGAGAGAGAAACATTGATTGATTGCCTCCTGCACACCCCCTAATGAAGATCGAGCCCACAACCTGGGCATGTGCCCTGACTGGGAATCGAACTGGGACCTCTCAGTCCATAGGACCACCCTCAATCCACTGAGTCACACTGGCTGGGCTGTGCTAGCCATATTTTTAATAGCCATCATAAACTAGCAGGAACTAGGGACAAGGAATTAGGAAGAGAGAGGAAGAGAATCTGGCATAAAAACTAGAAAGGAAGGGAAGGGGAGGAGAGAAGAGAAGAGGGGAGGGGAGAGGAGGGGAGGAGAGGGGAGGGGAGGGGAGGGGAGGTTAAGGCAGGGTTGGGGAGGGGAGGGAGAAGATTATAAATGGAGGATGAGGGCTGAACATAGGCAATGTCACTAATTCAATTTCTTTTTTTTATTGAGGACATCAAGTAGTTATTCTTTATCTAATATCAGATATTTATGTTAGCAGTTAATAGGGAACAGGCTCTGTGTCCTCAAAGAGATCATCATCCTAAATATTGACAAATGATAATAAGATATTGAGTGTTAACAGCAGCAAAGGCCAGAATGTTATAGGAGCCTGTATCAGTGGAAGATACTTAAATAAGATTTACAGTTGCCTCTTCAATGCATTGC